AACCCTGATAATGTTAAATTCGTAGATGCAGTTCAAATGTTTTGTTCACAAACTGATTCAAGGCTTGGGGAGATTGCAAAACGTATTGGGTTTGAGTTTGATGCTTCCGAGAAGCGAACAAAGGTATATGAAGCTTTGTGCAAGATTCCGGGTTTGGACCTTACTGAAAGAACATACGTGTCAATGCAACTAGCAAAAGACAAAGAAATTTTAGACTTGTTTTTTAGTATCCCCGATGATGCAAGGGCTGAGATGACTAGGCTAATGATAACAAGACAAGCTCCGTAAGGGAGTTGGTTCTCTTTATCCCCTTCGACTTATTTTGGTATATTTTTATGCCTTACGACTTATTTTGGTATTTTTTGTTATATATTTCGAAACCTGCTGCGAAATGTATTTTTGAATGTAAACTAGTTATTTGTAGGGCAAGAGGGGATATTTTTCATTAATGAATTATTATTTTGTAACAATTGGTTCAATATTGTAAGAACAATTGTATCTGTTAATTTTAAAGAACAATTGATAGAATTTTAGTAAGTTGAAGAGTTTGTGCTATGTAATGCAGTGAATATTTTTTGGCATTTTTATTAACTCACATTTGCTGCAGGGGAGTGGCTAATTAAACATTTGATTTTGGTATACCTACTTAAATTCCACACAAAGGTGCATAAGCCCTAATTTTAGAGTAGGTAGATTTTTTAAGTTGTAGGTGATAAAAGTTAAAAAAATGGCAGTTTGGTCACATCTCATAGAAATATTCATCAGTACATTGAAGTAAATGTGGACTTTGATAAAAACAACTTCATCAGTATTATGAAGTACACACAATATATATTATATTACTTTTCCTCATCTCTCAATTAGTACTCCATTTTATCAATACACCCACATCCCATATGGGATATAGTAAACGAGGCCTAATATGACTAAACTTTTAATATATAACTATTTTTTGAATTTCTTGAAATCTGAAATTGCACAAGAATTAAGATTCGTTTACAACTATTCTTTATAAAAGATTCATTTTTTAATTCTCTCCAAACCACAAATTAAAGTGAAATTAGGAGGGAAATTTGAATATTCGAAACGAAAATAATCACCCACAAATTTAATAAAGAAGAATCCCTATAAAAAAAAAAAAAAAAAGAATTATGAAAGAAGAAGCAGAAAAAGCGCAATTGAGAGTCGCTGAACGAGAAATAGCGACTTCGGTTCACTCTGCCACCGTCTGAACGCCTAAAACCACCCTCCGTAGATTTATCACCACCGCCGGCCACGCCGTCAAAGCCATCGTCAACACCACCGCGCTCTGTAACGGGTAAATATTGTAGATTGTTTGTACAATTTGATTTTTTTCTATCTCGCGGAAGAAATACACTCTAGCTATTGCGAATTATTGCATGCTGATCTGTTTTCCACTCTGCAATTTTTCGGATTCTTCTTAATTCTTATGGTTTTGGTTGAGTAATTAAGTAAATTTCAATTCAATTGCTGAAAATGTTGGTTTCTCTTAATTCCAGAATTTTGATTAACCATTTGGTCTGGGGATTTTGGGGTTTAATCGACAATGGCGGTTGAATCCAATAGTATTGTTGTTTATTAGAAAATTGACTCAAGAAGATAATCCCTAAATTCACACTTTCATTCATTCATTCCTTATGCAGAGTATATATTTTGATTAGATTATTTTCCTTATAGTTTGGGATGATGTGTTTCCATTTGTATACCGGGATATTGGTGTCTTCATCGAGTCCGGGGAAAGCTATCCCGATGTTATTTAATCAACTAATTTGAAATGAGTTTTTGGCAGAATATATGGGATTCGGAGACGGAGGAAGAATTAGTGATAGATGGTCCTCGAAGATACTTTGGCTCTGTGCATTTGGAAGTGCAGTTGGTACGAGTTCTCGATCGCGTATTTATTTTTTGTTGTGATATTGCTATTTTCGGTGATCGTTCTCTTAAACATGGTACTATGAATATCATTGAATCTGCATTTTCTACTTAGCCCTTGAAAGCTGTCTTAGTTTGCCAATGGTCAACTTTTTCACATTATCTAGACCCGTATTTACGTTACGAGTTCTCTGACATGTTAAGGAAATTGAACCTTTCATAAGATCATTTACTGGCAGAGGAGGAACTTTCGTTTCCCATATTATATTACTTGAATAAGTGTTGAAATTGTGTGTCAAAATCGATGCGATGTACTGATGTACGTAAATATATTCTTAAAACATTGCAATCTTGAATGTGTTGAGTTCATTGAAGTATATATGCATATCTTTCTTGATTGATATATGTGTCTGTCTACTTGTTGCTTAGGGCTTTACATGGTAGCAGTTGAAAGACAAATGCAGAATCGACAAAAAAGGATGGCTGCTGAAGCAGCAGCTGCTGCTGCAGAGGCTGGGGAATAAGTTCAAGTCATAGTCTACATGTTGTAACACTTTATTTTTATTACAAGCTTTTAGAGTTTTGCAGAACTCTTGTTTTGATCCCCGAGCTTCATTTTTGCCTCTCTGGGTGGTCGAGTATCTCGTGGAGATTGATATTCGGTAATAAGAAGTTAGATGTTTTCAGCAAAGGTTGATTAAATCAGATGTAATTCTTGATTTCAAATTAGTTGATGGTTCATTTATCCCTTTGTTTTGTTTTTCGTTCAAATGAATCCGGAATTTAACGTTTTTTCGATCTATTTGTGGGAAATAATGGGAAATGTTTGCCTCTTCTCTACGTTGTACATGGTGTTCCGAACCAAAGAAATCGAATGATTCAAATGACATATGTTCGGATCAAGAGAAAGCGGACTTAAACGACATGTGTCCGAATCCTATAACCAAACTTTTTTAGATAGAGTTTGTCACACATGGCTCGAATCTACTCAACAAGTACACATTATAGGCTACTTCATTACAAATAACTGTACGATATTCATTCACACTTGAGTGAAGAAAAAAAATATGAAAGATTTCTCATACAACAACATCAGCTTATCGATCGATGCCCTTTTCTTTTTCCATCTATAACAATAATTATATGTCAACTACGAGTCTATAAATAATAATTAACTGTGTAAATACATTATCTATTACCGTGGCAATGAGGACGATCTTTGTACCAAATCAGGCCCCGGTGGAGATATGGAAGAGGAGGGCCTATGCAGAGTCGTACCAGCCCGGCCGGAAATCTCATCATTGATGAAAATAGTGTTCGGGTGCTGTAGCTCGATTTCTGCACCTGCAGTTTTAGGCCCGAATCGAGGGCTATCTAGGAATTCATCTTCGTATTCTTCAACTGAAATAACCGTGCTCGTGTCTGTGTGACTGTGAACTGTCGAATCCTCTCCAAAACCGCCTAATCTCCGCCTTCTCCTAGCTGCTTTACCCCATCCATGAATTGTCTCTCGTACATTGTTTGGGATTAGTGCTGCTTTGTAGTTTGTTCCCATCTACGGTGCAACCAAAAAAAAAAAAAATTGTTGAAGTAGCTACTACTATATAGTTCGTTGATTTTGAAATGAGAAAACGAAAAAATGCAGAAGTAAATGAAAACAAAGAATTTGAAAATCTCTAATATAGTATGTTTGGTTCGTAAGGAAAATAGCGATGAAATTGATTTTGTTCGGAAACCATTTGAATTTGAATTAGAAGATAGAAAGCCAGCTAACGTTTTAACATGCAATTCTTGATTTTTGTACCTGAGTAACTAACGCATAGAGTGGCAAAGTGCTGTAGCTGCATAAAAATTGCCCTGCAAACCTAGGCAAACAAAAAATCTACATCAAGTCGAATTGTCTTCACAGAAGGACAAGCTGAAATCATATCATGTAACACCGTTTTAATAAAAAAAAAATAAAAAATTACGCATACCCCAAAACTAGTCGTAGATAGACGAGGAAATGGTTCTTTATGAAGCACGAGTTATACCCAAACTGCCACTGTAAAATTGAAGGCATAACTCATAAGAAGAAGCTCCAACATAATTATCCATGTTGATGATTTATAAATTTAAAACAATTTCTGCGTTTTGAATAAAATAAAAATAAAACAAAGGCAGAGGAGAATGGATTACCCAGAACCAAAAGAAAGAAGCAAGCTCAAATGCATTCTGCAAGCATAATAAACACACATGAAGAATAGTATCAGTATACTTAAGAAAGAAAAAAAAAAAACAACCAAGAATCTAAAACACGGGTTTTGTGCAAACCTGGAAAAGGATAAAATGAATTAAGGACAATAATAGTTCCGGCTTATTAAACCAAAACAATTCGTTACGAAGTTTAAACCTAGGTCGAGAAAAACTCCCGCTTATTCCCACACTCTCTAATGCCAAGGTTGCTATAACATGCTGCAGTTTTGTGCCCACTAATAGGACAAGCTGCAAAATTAGAACCACCGTTTCTTCAAATCATAGTATTAAGCAAAAAATGAAAAAAAAGAAAAGGAAACTTCGATATGAATTCTGAAGAATTTACCGTGAAAGGAACTAATGAAATCCAGAAATAGAGATTAGACCCTGCATGTAAGTTTCAAAACCAGCTACAATTAGGTAGAACGATTATATTTCGTTTAGCACATGCAGTAGATGGAAAAAAACAGACGTACCTTTCACATTGAACAGCATAAAAGCTACAACAAATCCCCAGAGGGGGGCACTGTAAATATCGAACAAAAAAAAAATCGAATGTCACATAATGGAAGTTAAAAAATATGAATGTACTTATCGAGGGTGTGTTACAGTTATTACAGTTAAATCGGTATTAACTTTATGTACTGTGGTGTTGCGCTAAATATAGTATAACTAATGGAAGTCTTTTTGCCTATACATAAACTTGAAAGAATCGGAACTTGAAAAAAATAATCATCTGTTTGTAATGATACTTAGCTTACCTAACGCCGACTATACATTGAAATTCTTCTTCCATGGATCGAATCATGTAGCTGTGAAAATCATAGTTTGGTGTAAGGTTGTGGTTCTGCCATAAATAAGAAAATACAAAAATGTAAACACGGATTTTAATATTTTCCTCCATGAGAAATGGAATTCGATACGTATATAACAATATATATGCATAGCATCAATCAAACGATCTATTATTAACAATTTATCTATAACATTTTACATACCGTGATGAACCCATGGCGGAGTGTAAGGTAATCTGCACGGACCACCGAACGCCCGAATTGTCGGATAAAACAAGTCTGGATATTCCAAACATAAAACGAATCCCAATCAAAATGCCACTTTTATTGAACAAATTGGCTCGAAAGTGCAATTAAAACCATAGTTAGAAACATTAAAGCCATTTAAGTGGTAGAGAAGTGAACACACCACCCAAACAAGAAATCTGTTATTGTCTCTACGGTTCGATGTATGAACTCTGACAAAGGACGCTTGCCTTTGCATTGTCAACGCTTTGGTGATTTCTGCAAGAGAAACAATTATGTTGTTTTGGGTTATCTTTCGTATAGGCATTTATCATTCAAACAATTACCATTCAATGAATTGTATCGGTCTCTGTGAGCCTCATCCTCCCATCCTCTCCAACTGTGGATCTGTAGCAGATATCGATGCAATAATTTATAAGTTATGACGAGACGAACAATTTAAAAAAAAAAAGGGCACGGTCATTTTCACAAAAAAACAGATAAAATGTGAAAAGACAAAGAACTTATTGCTTGTCGAAAATATTACCTTAACAATTGCGAGCAACATTGTTAAGCAGCTGTAAGATACATGTGTAATTGCCATAACAAAGATGAATCGGTGGAGTTGCTCAAGGCCTTCGTAAGAAACAAATGGTTCATGATGCTGCACGAAAAGAGAAAAAAAATCAAAAAAAAAAAAGGTGGAAGCGGTTGAATCACACGAGGAAATGAGAAAAAAAGTAAAACCTAAAGAGATGAAGGATAAGACTCGAGTACTATGATAAACTAAGAAACAGAGTTGACTCGCCTTTCGGCAGGTGTTGATGTTTAGATCACTCAGAATTCTCCTATACGGTTGAGGATCAGTTAAGGCCATCAAGAGTTTACGATCTTTCAAGGTGTTATTTGCCCTTTCCTCTTCAACGTCTTGCCTAGTGCACGGCACAAACGCACTATGGTAGTACTTTGACGGTATGCAAAAATTAGATATAAGGCTTGAAGTTGCTGTAAGGAGGAGTGATATGAAGCCAAGAAGCATCAATTCTGTATAAAGAGTTTGAAGTGAAACGAAACTCAGACGTTACAAATACGGTAACAGCAAAAACAGAGTAAGAAAAGTTTTAAGTGTACTTTATTAAATAGATTGCATGAAAACTATCTATCTTACCTTCCTTCATTTTCTCCATAGCTGCTAGCAGAGGTTTCCTATCGGTTTTCTTCAACCACTGAAACGATAGCAATTATAAATAAACGAAAAAAAATACAGCAACATCTGTGTGAGGAAATTCCTCCGACGGACAAACTGAATATTGCATCATATAATCACTAACTAAGTACACCCTAACGAAAAGCTTACGTCGTGATTTCACATAAAGGGTCAACTCAGTGAATATTTAAAAATTATAGTTCAAAGCCATCAACAGCGAGAAAAAACATAAGAGAGCAAAATTGCAATCATACACGCCTTTTTAACATAAACGATCACATATCCTAATACCAAAAGAATGCACAATTTCAAATTGAAAAGTAGAGAATGTGACTCACATTACCCAAGTGGTGAATGGAGCGCTCAACAAGCAGAGAAACGACGACGAAAACGGTCAATACGGAAGCAATGGACCAAGTGGGAGTCAATGCCAAGGATCTCATCTCCTTTGCATCTTCCGACATTGCTTTAGCCTCGGATTCAGACATTCTTAACTAAACCTAAAACACTCTGCAAAAGCTTCAATGGGGGTTTCACCTTGTTTGACAACTGTATGATCAAACAGAATCTAATTTTTTGCTCTTACATTCTTTTTTTCTTTTTTCTTTTTTTTTTGAAATAAAAAACGAATATAACAAGCTCTAATTTTCCAAACCTTCCTCCAATTAGGGATGAATATGAATCAAATTGGGTTTCAGAAAAAAAAAACCCCAAACAGAATTCCTAATTTCAAAAAAAGAGGGAAAATTGACAACGGATTATCGTCGAAAATTGATTGACCTGAAGGAATTGATGGTGTTCGATAAAACCGGAATTTGGAATAATATTTATAAGCAATTCGTTTGAAGTGGAGCACGAATCAAAGAAGCCTCAATGCATGAATGGCGTACGGAATAATGAATAAAGGGGGTCGATCGTAAGGGCAAATCTGGAATATGGATGATTCTCTCTCCATGTGTGTGTGTGTGTGTGTGTGAAATAGAAGTGATAGTGAAGTGGAATGAGCTGGAGCAGGTGCTTCCATGTTTTTTTACAAGTTCAATTTCCATCTTCCAGCCTCAATATTTGGTCTCCCTTCCCATTTCCCCATGCCAATCCGGAATATCTCTCTCTCTCTCTCTCTCTCTCTCTCTCTCTCTCTCTCTCTCTCTCTCTCTCTCTCTCTCTCTCTCTCCCAGGGTGGCGCTAACGCACGTGTATTTTTTTTCTGTATCTATAACTATATTAAGCTGGCTAATTTTTGGAATATATGGAACTAAATTTCTGAATTTCTTTATTTTTTGTGGGAATAATACTAGTTAGTTATTATGAATTTGGTCAAATTACGACCAACCCTTAGGTAAGCTCAAATTACAAAATATCCCACATGTTTGGATAATTACAACCACCTCTTCAATTATGTATTGCTTATGAAAAAATCTCTCTTTTAGCATATACATTATTTGATATTATAAGGGTGGACATGTAAGACAATACATAGTTAATGGAGGTGGTTGTGATTATCCAAACATAAAAGGGGTTTTTCATAAATTGAACATACATCGGGGAGTGGCCGTAATTTGCCCTATGAATCTTGAAAATTCCGTTTCCAATTTCTTACTTTGATTGGAATTGATAATGCATGTGAATACAAAAAAAAAAGACTTTTGAAAGTCCTTCGATTTCGATCTGATTTTATTTTTTAGATTTTGAGAACAAGTTTTATTCTTCCAATTTGAATTCTCGAAAAGAAATGGACTTTTTTTTTTCCGAAAATGTTAATTGCCATCCGGTTCGACCTATTGTCACTCTGGGTATTAATTTTGTGTTTGAATTTTGAATTATAATATTATTTTTTTTTTTTTTTTTTTTTTTTGTAATGCAGGAACCCGCAGCCAACCATATAGGTGCACTGGGTAAAACCTACACTCTCGTATAATAGCTTGCAAACCATACGAGAGATGTAAACCACACTAGGCTAACCATGTGTGACAAGCTCGACCTAGCGACCGTTGGCAAGGGGATTCGAACTTGGGTCAATTGACACAAGCTCTCTTGCTCCAACCGCTAGGCCACCCTTGCTGGTATAAGAATTATAATATTATTTGTATCCTATATGATCCGGACCAGAGTTATTCTTTGCCGGTCCAAGAGCAGGAGCCCAGTTGTCAAGGCCCATCAAAGGGTTTGGCCCACCAGTGTTAACGGTTCAAGGGATTGTCCAGCCCATTAGCACAAAGACCAATATACACAGGGCCTGAATTTCCTCCCGAGGAGTCCTAACAGTTCGGGAGGGTCATAAATGCTAGACGGCGCATTTAATGCTCTGACAGTAACATTTATGGCGAAATGATCCGGAGCGGCTTAACGGCTAGTACCGAACGAGGTCAGTAAACCTACTAAAGGGGTTATCATGACCCCGGCCGCCTGGGCTGTTCGGGGAAGGACAACTGTCATCCGTAATTAGCGCGGAATTCCCGGACCCTCGAGCTCCGAGCCGAGGGTATATAAAAGGGAGTTTCTCTTTTCCTTTAGACATATGTGATATATACACTAAATTCTGAGAAAACATAGTAATTAAACCGTCACTGACTTGATCGTCGGAGTGCTAACTCCGGCATCAGTCCGGCTTTCTCTTTTACAGATCACCGGAAGCCAAGGTTACCAGCACAACTGTTTTCTTCGGATCAATTGGCGCCGTCTGTGGGAACGTGTTTTACAAGTAAAGCCAGACTAGCTCTTCACCATCTAGCACTACAGAATCACATAGAGGATGCTACCAATGTCTACGCCCGTGGACGTAGTCCGAAACCTATCGGAGCAGCTGAACGAGGAATCAACCCCACCCCCGCTACAAGTCATCGGAGGCGAACCTTCCTCTGACCCTCGGAGGGAGGAATCAACCCCGGCGGCTGGTGGTTCCCCTGTCGGGCGTGAGAATTCCACCATAACGCTCACCCTGGAAAACTTGCAGGCCTTGATCGCCGCGGCGGCTAGGGGCCGGTCGCCCCAGGAGAGGACGGAGGATCCTGCTACCAAGAGAAAGGCATCGGGCGGAGGCGAAGTGGGACCATGTCTAGACGGGCTAGAGGCCTCTCCTCTCGAGGAGGAAGAAGGAATGGCGGGAACACCGTTCACCGAAAGACTGCAGCATGGTGAACTTCCCGCCACGTTCAAACATGTCACTTACGAGTACACGGGGACCACGGACCCCTGGGAACATTTGTCGAGGTTCATCACCTCAGCCTCCCTCCATCGGCTGACAGACGGCGTAAAATGCCGTGTGTTTGCAACCACATTGGCGGGGCCAGCGCAAAGGTGGTTCAGCCAGCTTCCGCGCTGCTCGGTCCACAGCTTCGCACAGTTCGGTGAGGTGTTCCTGAACCATTTTGCCAGCTCGAAAAAACAAAAGAGGAGCACCCTCACCTTATTTGCAGTACGACAGAAGGAGAATGAGCCTTTGAGAAGCTATGTGCAGAGGTTTAATGCGGCAACTTTAGAGGTCCCTGCCACCAGTGAGGAAGTGCTCATCAATGCACTGGCCCAGGGGTTACGCATGGGTGAGTTCTTTGATTCCCTCTCCAAAAAGGCCCCCGTCTCTTTCAACGACTTGCTCAGGAGGGCAGAGAAGTACATAAACGCGGAGGAAGCCCGGAGAAGCAGAACTATGGAGAGCACCTTGCCGGCAGAAAGACGAAAGGATAAGACCCGCGAGGATATAAGGAAGCAAGAACCGACCTATCGACGAGAGCCTGGCTTGGAGAGGAGGGGAGGCCCTCGCTTTGAGAACTACGCACCTCTCTCGTCGGCCCCTTCGGAGATACTGGTTGCCATCGCCAACCACCCCAAGCTCAAGTGGCCCCGAACTTACGCGGAGGTTCCGAGAAAGCCCGCTAACTCCGGGCCCTATTGTAGGTTCCACAATGAGCATGGTCATTCCACGGACGAATGCCAGCACTTAAGGGATGAAATCGAGAGACTGATCAGGAGCAAGAATCTTTCGGAATTCGTTGGCGGTAATCCCAGTGGGATAAGGCAGGCCAAGAAGGGAGATAGCTCGAACCGGCCTCCGACCGATGCGAGTGGAACTACAGAGGCCCGCCCGCCTAATAGTTACATTCACACGATTTTCGGTGGCCCCATCGGTGGAGACTCGAACAGGTCCCGACGGGCGCACCTGCGAGAGTTGCAGGAGCTAAGGGGAGAACTCGCCATGATGTACCGGGTATCGATAGCTCCACCGATCATGTTCGGAGTACAAGACGAGACTGGAATACAACAGCCGCACAACGACGCGTTGGTCATCACGGCCATGGTCGCCAATTATGATGTGGCCAGAATATTGGTGGATACGGGTAGCTCGGCAGACATCATCTACTACGACTGTTTTAAGCAGATGAGACTGAATTTCGAAGTTCGGAGGGTGGACACGGCGCTCATTGGCTTCGCCGGAGAAGTGGTACAACCCATGGGCGAGGTAACACTACCTGTGTCTCTGGGAACAGAGCCCCTGCGAGCCACAAGAGCTGTCAGATTCCTGATCATAGATGCACCATCGACGTACAACATGATAATGGGACGACCTTCGATGAACTCGTTTGAAGCCGTCGTCTCCACTTTCCACATGAAAATGAAATTCCCAGTACTAGATCGGGTAGGAGAGGTTCGGGGCGACCAGGAGACATCCAGACGATGCTATAATCAAGCGCTACGGGGACAACGGCGCATCAATCCCGTCGGATGGGAAGAGCGCTCGGGAGAAGAACTCTCAGATAAAGCAAGGGAGAAAAGGGCCCGCGAGGACCCGGACGACGAAAGGGAGGGACACATCCAGCCCATGGAAGAGTTGCGAGTAGTTCACCTCAGCAAGAGTGACCCTACGAGGGTCACTAAAATAGGAACAAGGATGAATAGCAAAATGGCCGAGGAGCTGATAGCATGTCTGCGAGACCATCAGGACGTGTTTGCCTGGTCTCCCGTAGATCTGGTCGGAATAGATCCCTCGGTAGCAGTCCACAAGCTGAACCTAAGGCCTGACGCTCGCCCCGTGAAACAGAAGAGGAGGCATTTTGGATCAGAGAAAGACAAAATCATCGGCGAAGAAGTAAAGAGGCTATTAGAGGCGGGTCATATCAGGGAAATCCAGTTCCCGACCTGGTTGTCAAACGCCGTGCTAGTAAAGAAGGCGGAAGGAAAATGGAGAATGTGCATAGACTTCCGTGACTTGAATCAAGCTTGCCCGAAGGATCACTACCCGTTGCCAAGGATCGACCAGCTCGTGGACTCGACTGCCGGGTGCGCGATGCTGAGCATGATGGACGCCTCGCAAGGATACCATCAGATTCGCCTGGCCGAGGAGGATCAGCCCAAAGTCAGTTTTGTGACTTCCACAGGAACGTATTGCTACGTAGCAATGCCGTTCGGTTTAAAGAACGCGGGAGCAACGTACCAGAAGTTGGTAGACAGTATGTTCCGAGCCCAATTAGGGCGGAATATGGAAGTGTACGTAGATGATATGTTGGTCAAAAGTAGGGAAGTCAATGAACACATCAGCGACCTGCAAGAGACGTTCGCAACACTACGAAAGTATGGAATGAAGCTCAACCCCGCCAAATGCGCGTTTGGTGTGGAGACCGGAAAATTCCTAGGGTACGTAGTGACTAAGCAGGGAGTGGAAGCTAACCCAGAAAAGGTGCGGGCTATAATGGAAATGTTACCCCCGAGAAGTGTAAAAGAAGTACAGATATTGGCCGGTAGGATCACGGCATTAAGCCGTTTCATCTCGCGAGTAGCCGATACCAGCTACCCGTTCTTTAGGATCCTGCGCAAGGGCCATCGCTTCCAATGGGATGAAGATGCCGACCGTGCATTCGAGCAGTTGAAAGAGTCTCTCACCCGCCTACCCCTGCTAGTGAAACCCGAGGTCGGGGAGAGGCTGTATGTGTACCTGGCGGTGGGTCGCCAAGCTGTAAGCACGGTACTGCTGAGCGAGAGAAAGGGGGCCCAGCATCCCGTTTATTACGTAAGCCGAATGCTTAGAGGAGCTGAAAAGAGTTATCCCGAGATTGAGAAGGCAGGATTGGCTCTTGTGATCACAGCACGGAAACTGAGGCCCTACTTTTTGGCGCACGGGGTAGTAGTGCGAACTAACCTTCCTTTGAAAGGGACGTTGGGAAAGATGGATGTATCTGGCCGAATGGTTAAATGGGCAGTGGAACTAGGACAGTTCGACATCGAATACGAGGCACAGGCCGCTATTAAAGGGCAGGTATTAGCGGACTTCTTGCAAGGGATGACACAAGAGGGAGAGAGTGGAGAATGGAGAGTCTTCATCGACGGGTCCGCCACCCAATCGGGGAGCGGAGCGGGGGTATTGCTAATCAACCCTGCGGAGGAGGAATATGAGTATGCGATCCGATTAACCTTCCGAGCGTCAAACAACGAGGCCGAGTACGAGGCCCTGCTGCACGCCTTCCAGCTGGCTGCCGACGCGGGAGCCCAGATTTTGGAGATATTCTCTGATTCGCAATTGGTCGTCCAGCAATTCAATGGGATATTTGAAACAAAGGATGGGCGAATGGAGGGATATTGCAGCAAGGCAAGAAAGTTAGCGGAGAGCTTTCGCAAAGTGGCACTTAGGCAAATCCCGAGGGAGGAAAATGAAAGAGCGGACTTCCTAGCAAGGGTGGGAAGTATGTCCGCGGACTGCTCCTCAAGACAGATAACGATTCTCGAAGGGCAGCCAAGAGAGCACCTGGAGGTAGCGGCAACAAGCCTAGCTCAAGATTGGCGCCAGAAAATCATAAGATGTCTGAGAGGAGAAACGCTGCCCTGTCGGAGGGAGCAGAGCAAATTGGAAGCGAAAGCAAGAAATTTTTGTTTGGATAAAGGGACACTATATAAGCGGGGATTCACAAGGCCCCACCTGAGATGCCTCAGCGAAACGGAGGGAGCAAACGCGATCAGGGAGGTCCACGGCGGTTGCTGCGCAGACCACGCGGGTGGGCGAACGCTCACGATGCGACTGCTAAGAGCCGGTTATTTTTGGCCCACTATGAGAAAGGACGCAGCGCAGTTTGTGAAGAGCTGCGACAAGTGCCAAAGGTACGGCCCCCGCATACACAAGCCCGGGGAAGAGATGACAATCGTGGACGCCCCTTGCCCGTTCGCCCAGTGGGGAATCGACATAGTAGGCCCTCTGCCTCTCGCAACAGGCCAAAGGAAGTTTCTAGTGGTCGCTGTAGACTATTTCTCTAAATGGGTCGAAGCAGAAGCAGTGGCGAGGATCACGGATACGGAAATAATGAAATTCATATGGCAGAACATATGCTGCAGGTACGGGTTGCCGAGGGACCTCGTATCGGACAACGGCACACAATTTAACTCAGCACGGATCACCAAGTGGTGTAAGGGTTTGGGCATAAGGCAGAGGTACGCGGCGGTAGCACACCCGCAAGCAAATGGCCAAGTCGAGGTAGTAAACCGAGTCATAATCGAAGGAATTAAAAAGCGACTAGATCGAGCGAAGGGCAATTGGGTGGATGAGTTACACTCGGTCCTATGGGCATACCGGACGTCCCCCAAGGAAGCTACGGGGGAAACCCCCTTCTCTCTGGTGCATGGCTCGGAGGCAGTAATACCGCTAGAGGTCGGAATACCTTCGAGGAGAACTAAGAACTTCAACGAGCTGGATAACGAAGAGCAGCTGAGAACGGACCTGGACCTAGCAGAGGAGCTAAGAGAGCAAGCAGCGATCAGAATGGAGGCAAGTAAGGCGAGAATGAAAAACGCCTACGACAGAAAGGTAAGGAAGAGACATTTCCAAGTCGGCGACCTGGTGCTTAAGCAGGCGGACGCTTTGAAAGCCACCGGGAAAATGGAACCCAATTGGGAAGGACCTTACGTTGTCAAGAAGATATTAAAAGGAGGAGCGTACGAGCTGGCTACAGCCGAGGGGGATAAACTACCTCGACCATGGAACATAGGGCACTTGAAGAAGTATTTCGCCTAAAAGATGCATGCTTTCCACTTTCCATTTTGATATTTTCCTTGTTTATTTTGATGTGTTTCCCCTAAATGAATGAGAACTACTCTCCTTTCCTTAAGAACTTATGAAAGTAGAGGAACGTTAAGGAAAAGTTGAAAATTTTCCAAGTATGTTCCTCGGAACGGAATTGAGCTCGAGCTCACCGACAGAAAGCCCGAGAGCTCGAGCTCCGGGTCAAAGAGAGATACAATTGCGAATAACGTTAAGGGAAAGTTGAAAATTTTCCAAGTATGTTCCTCGGAACGGAATCGAGCTCGAGCTCACCGACAGAAAGCCCGAGAGCTCGAGCTCCGGGTCAAAGAGAGATACAATCGCGAATAACGTTAAGGGAAAGTTGAAAATTTTCCAAGTATGTTCCTCGGAACGGAATCGAGCTCGAGCTCACCGACAGAAAGCCCGAGAGCTCGAGCTCCGGGTCAAAGAGAGATACAATCGCGAATAACGTTAAGGGAAAGTTGAAAATTTTCCAAGTATGTTCCTCGGAACGGAATCGAGCTCGAGCTCACCGACAGAAAGCCCGAGAGCTCGAGCTCCGGGTCAAAGAGAGATACAATCGCGAATAACGTTAAGGAAAAGTTGAAAATTTTCCAAGTATGTTCCTCGGAATGGAATCGAACTCGAGCTCACCGACAGAAAGCTCGAGAGCCCGAGCTCCGGGTCAAAGAGAGAAAAAGGTAATGCGGAATAATCAAGATAAAACACGAAGTAAATAATAGACATACATAACAAAAAAGCAATACGGGAATAATCAAGATAGTTCAAACATACAAGGAGTAGTAATAGGAAAGGAAATAACAAAGGAAAGTTTTCTTAAAATTTAAAATTAAGAAGAGGAGGAACGGTGAACGACTGCAGCGGCAACAGACGGAGCGGACAGAGGAGCAGAAGAGGCGGAAACAGGATTAGTTGCGGGGATAGGTGGCAGAGACAGAACTGGGTGTGGACCAGCGGTGGCCGACGACGCCGCACCCGCCGGACCGATGATTAATGGCTCCGGAAGCTGGGGAGCGGAAGACGAACCGATCGATGAGATCAGATCGTCCGTAATGGATTGCCACCAGGCGTAATCGATTGGCTCTCGAGGGTCACCTTTCCATAAAGGAAGCGTCCTGCTAATCTTGCCAAGGACAGCTGTGGGCTCGTATCGAACGACTGCCTGCTGCTCGGAGGCCAAGGTTTCACACGCAGCAATGGTCTGCTTCACGTAATACATGCCAATGGGACATGCATCCTTCAAGAAAAGCTTTGTGTGCGGGTACCTCTGGAATAACTTGACCCGGTACTGGTCAAGAACCGACAAACCCTCTGCAGTCGCCAAAAGCTCTCCTAGGGACTTCCCCCGTTCAGCAGCGAGTCGGCGTGAGAGTTCTTCTTCAAATGCTTGCTCCTTCGCCTCCAACTGCCGAATGACGGAGTCCCTCTCCTCGTGCGCCCGCACAATCTGACCCTCCAAAGCACTCTTCGTCTCGTTTAACTTTGACTGGACGTCCTGAAGCTTCTCCTCGGCAAGCTCACACTGCCTGGATAATGACCCGTTCTCGGACATCAAGGCGTATATCCGAGAAGATGCTCGCTCGAGAGCAGTCCGAGCATTGGCGGCCTGCGAGGACAGCTCACGAACCGCCTGATCATGAACCGAGGGGTCATCTTCACCAAAACCCGAAGCCACGATAGAACTCGCCTAAAATATAATAAATAAATCAAAATTAAATAATGCATACCATTGATAAGGTAAGATAATAGGGAAGAGGAAGGTAAAAACATACCTGAGCCAGGCAAAGAGCCAGCCTTGCACGGCGGGTTGAGTGAGGCAGATTACTCAGAAAGGATGAATCCCCGGCGGCCTGGACCTTGGCCAGCTGACGGAGAGCAAAGTCCACAGACTCCTCGGAGTCATCGGCGGAAAAGAGGGAAGGCAAGTCAAGACGGGCTCTCTTGGGCGGCAGGGTGGAGTCGCTCGGCAGGGGTCGTTTCGAGCTAGCCCCCGCCGACTCCCCTTGAGCCTCTTCAAACCCGGGGTCGCCGCCCGGAGAAACCACTGGATCGCGCGCCTCGGCCTCACTGTCCAAGAGGTCGATCACGACATCAGGGGCAGTCAGCCGCAAGTCGGTAGAGGGGGGTGCGGTGCGAGAGGGAGAATTGGAACTGTGCGACGGAGGCGCAGCACCTCGAGAAGATGCCTCAGGAGCAACGGAGGTGCCGGTCTCCTGAGGAAGTGCGGACGAACCGCCGGTATTTTTCTTCTCGGCCTCCGCCATCTCCATCAACATGTCAAGCATCATCTCGGCTGACAAAACAGAAACGTTAGTACTCATTGCAAACGAAAAAACAAAAGACAAAAAGGAGGGGGAACACTGCACAAGTAAAAGATGAATAAGGGAGGCAAAGTTGGTAGATACCCCAAGGCCGGCGGTCGAAGGAAGGGGTGCGCCACAGACCGGCACGGGAAAAAAGGGGAGTGGTGCTAACGACCTTCTCCACATTCCAAGCGCGAGGACGAACACGAGCGAGGAGACGGGCTGTCTCCTCGTCGAAATTTATGTCCAAAACAGCACGCTTGGGGGACTTGGCAGGGGGAGAAGGATCGAATGGCCACGGAGAGGGCGGACGGGCAAAAAAGAAACGCCGTTGCCACGAATCGATCTTTGTGACCAGACCAGCAAAAAGACGGCCGATTCGGGTCGAGAGATGGAAATAGCCTGAGGGTGATCGGTTGTGGGTAAATAGGGAAAAGAAGAGCTCGGGGCGTGGGTCAACACCAGTACCCACACAAACAATGTAAAAGCAGGACATGAATTTTATGGCGTTGGGGTGGAATAAGTGAAGAGGAATTTTATAAACGCGACTAACATCGACAAAGAAAGGATGTAAAGGGAACGAAAGGCCAGCTTTGAATTGGTCGAGATACCATGTGAGGTATCCCGGAGGGGGGTTCGAAGGGGTCTGATCACGGGAAGGCACAATGAGGTGGAAAGAGGGATCCATCCCTTGGGTAACGAAAAGGGCCTCGAGATCGAATTTATCGACCAAGGAGTGGGTGGGTTTTTCCGCTACTTTCTTCTTCCCCGCCCTAGAGGAGGAAGGAGCTACCGTTTTACGGGGAGCCGGTCGCCGGCGACCGCGCCGGGGAATCGGGGAGGGGACGGCGGAACCCGTCCTCTCCGAAGAAGAGGAAGAGGAGGTGTTTTGAGAAACCATGGTCGAGCCAATCAGAGGAGGAGCAAACGCAGTATAAACAAAGGAAAAAGGAATAGGGATGTACCTGGCAGAGTCACTCGATAAACGGAAGAAAGGTATTAGGAGGAAGAATAAAAGAGGTGAAGGTCAGAATTGGTGAATAATGGATGACTCTCAAAGATAAAGTATGGTATAAAGTCGAAGAGCCGCCGGCAGTGATGACGCACGGAAAACGAGGAGCCCCGCGTGGGCAGTAGGGACCTAGGACTGTGTGTAGGGTGCAGAAGACTAGGCGGCCAACTGGAAGGACGCGGCTGATTGAACGTCGCCCGAGTTAGGGAAAGTAAAACCGAGTGAACTCCGGGTCCTAAACTCGGAGATAGAACCCGGAGTGGGGGACTAGTTGATCCGGACCAGAGTTATTCTTTGCCGGTCCAAGAGCAGGAGCCCAGTTGTCAAGGCCCATCAAAGGGTTTGGCCCACCAGTGTTAACGGTTCAAGGGATTGTCCAGCCCATTAGCACAAAGACCAATATACACAGGGCCTGAATTTCCTCCCGAGGAGTCCTAACAGTTCGGGAGGGTCATAAATGCTAGACGGCGCATTTAATGCTCTGACAGTAACATTTATGGCGAAATGACCCGGAGCGGCTTAACGGCTAGTACCGAACGAGGTCAGTAAACCTACTAAAGGGGTTATCATGACCCCGGCCGCCTGGGCTGTTCGGGGAAGGACAACTGTCATCCGTAATTAGCGCGGAATTCCCGGACCCTCGAGCTCCGAGCCGAGGGTATATAAAAGGGAGTTTCTCTTTTCCTTTAGACATATGTGATATATACACTAAATTCTGAGAAAACATAGTAATTAAACCGTCACTGACTTGATCGTCGGAGTGCTAACTCCGGCATCAGTCCGGCTTTCTCTTTTACAGATCACCGGAAGCCAAGGTTACCAGCACAACTGTTTTCTTCGGATCACTATATATATAGGCACATTTACACACGATTTAGTAGGGAATTCATCTATGGGAGAAATCATCTGACAATTGAAATAAAATATAATGGATAACAAAAAAACTATTACTGACAAAAGTTTAGATCTCAATACACAAGCTTCACTTTTCTTCCTAATTTAATGACTCTGCATGCATGTATCCGTCGAACATGGATCCACGAAAAACAAGAACCTTCATCAACAATAAAACACGAAAACATACTTTATTTCGACTTTCTACTCGGGATATCTGATTTGAACGTACTAATTTGGAAGGTAACCATTGTGTCGTCATTCCCGATATTTCACCTAACTCGTGTTTGTACGTAAGCTCGGGTCACCCAATCGAGCTACCTAACTCGAATGATTCAACATCAATGTCAATTGTCAAACCAAAAAAAAAAGTCGTCCAATTCTATATGAAGATATTAATTAATAGCATCCCTCATTTGTTAATCTTTTGCACATGAATAAATAAGATATAGTAAGTCATACATATATAAAATTGCAACATGTTAGATATAGATCTGTGTACGTATACATCACATGTGAGTTTATTATAAGCAAAGAGTAGCAAGTTCCACTTGATAAGGGAAGTCGCTGATTACAACTAGTTTTCCTAGGTTTATTTATTTATCAGTATCAGGTTTTCTCAGTACAATATGTTTTTATATTGGACTTCATCATCTGTACCTTACGTACTTCAACCCAATTCAAAGGGTATATTACAACTGCCCCCCTAAGTTATCATCTATTTACGAAAAAAACCCTGAGGTCTTACATTAACACACTCTTCTAGGGGTGTGGGTGTAAGAAATTTCCAAACTACAGAGAGTTGAATGTAATTTCTCAAACATGAGGGGTTTTTTCAATAATAAACTTTACCTTAGGAAGGTGAGGTAATTTTCCCAAATTTAAGTCAAACTTGTTTCTGTACTACAAACAAGTTCGTATGCGTATTAGCAGGGAGAAAAAATAATTAATAAAGGGAAAGTCAACTGATTGATTAATGCAGTGGCTTAATACATTTATTTAGAAAAGGTACCCCAATTTAATATTTAGGTCTTTTAAAAAAAAATTAAATTGATTTTTTTTTAATAAAGGACAAACCTCGTTTGCTTTTAGACGATCGGTTTCGATTATCAGAACTTCATATAAACCTACAAATAAAGTCAAAGATTCGAATTTCTCCAACGAGATCCAATACAAAGTCGATATACTTGGTACAATACAAGTAGTTTATGGAAAACGTAACTTAGTGAAATGCATCAGTCTGAACAGCATGCAAAATTTATAAGAGAGAAAAACAATCTAGGAAGTGAGAGAAACAATTTAAGCTGGAAGTTCCGAGCCAGATTCCGGAAGGTTCCTCTCCTTCAACTCGTCTTCATCGAAAAGATCCTTTTGAACCGGAAAATCGTCGATCTTCTGGGATGAAATAACATTATTAATAGCTCTTCTAGCAGCAGCAGCCATATCATCTTCCACCGTCTTTTCTTTATCCTCAATTTCTTCATCCTCTAATTGCTTTGGCGGTTCCACGAAAAATGGTATCTTACCTCTTTGCCAGTCGTGCAGAATCATCTTCGCACCAGTCATTAAGTCCGGTTCACCTCCCTAACAAAACAGATAGAAACATCATCAATCATCAGCCAAAAGTGAAAGGACATATTTGCTCTCCTAAAAGTTTGTATAAAAGAATTGTTCGATTATACCTTGAGGAGTTTCCCTGATGCTTTGCACAGCTGAAGTAGGAAATCATATTCATCCACCCTGAAAAAAATCAACGAGTTTAAGCCGTGTTAACTTTTACCATACCGAGATTTGTGCACACTTGCATGCAATATGTTTAGCGTGTGCGAAAACAAAATTCACTTACCATTCACTAATCTTATAAGCTCTGAGGAGATGCTTCTTTTTAACACGTTTCAGAACTTCACCGATATGCTCAGTGGCATCATGCAAATTTGTCACACGTACCTGCAGACGGAAGCAAAAATATCATAAATAAAACATATAAAGCAATCAATAAATATTAGGAACATATATCGACCGACCAAAGATTACTTACCACGCCCTTCAAGACAACATCGGTTTCAGTGTCACTGTTGTGATAAACGACTCCAGGGCAATCGATCAGAAAGATCTTCTTAGTTAGTGTAATGTATTGCCACACTTTAGTTTCCCCGGGAATAGGTGCCACCTTGCAAACCTATTCATGCAAAATATAACGAGCACAAAGATTAAAAATAACTTACATCCGAAGTCTATCGAAAAAGAAACCAAAGGGGCTTATATCTAAACATTATCGAAATACTGGCCAGTGCAACGAAAAGGCTGTTACAAAACTAAGAGATGAAGTACAAAGAGTGCTTTACATTCTTTGTACGCAAAGTATTGATAACTGATGATTTCCCAACATTGGGATATCCGACGAATCCCACAGATATAGCTTGCTTGTCACTTTTCAAACGCGAAAATTGTCTTAATACTGAGAGAAGAGAACCCTGAAAAACAAGCACCGAACAACGAAATTAGATCTTACTAGCAAACCAATAACATTAGCTGCTAGTGTGAAATTGGACAAACACAGACGTGAACACACAGAAATTAGTTTGAAAAGTACAAAGGGTTTCTATTGAAATGCTGAACAAGAATCTGATGGTAAATCATGTGCTTTTAACGGCTGTGTACTCTTTTAAAGGTTTCTTTCCATGTTTATAAAGTCAGAGAAAACTGAGAAATAACCAACATTAGAAGCTATGATTGTTTGTTAAGTATTTCTACTTGTTAGAGTGCAGTTTATCAATTCCCACCTATCATACGGTGATCAATAAAATGAAAGTGAGTCTTGGGAAAATACGCACTGTATCCCAATTTTATGTCTACCCACGGCATGATATCTGATTGGTTTTAGGATATCCAAAAACAAACTGCGACACAATAAAGGGATTGAAACATAAAGGCCACTATCACAGACAAAATTGGGCCATGTTCCGGTATTTTTGAACCACTCACTCAAATGAACCATTCATCAGAATTAGATTGTCACTGCACTTCAAAATCAGAAGTCAATTGCATACCTTCCCGAATGATTTGTTTATGTTTGCATGAAAAGCAAGAGCAGGGTATTCCTTGGATAGAACTCTAAGCCATCCCTTTGTTGCCCAAGATGGAATCAAATCACACTGCAGAGAGAGAGAGAGAATGAAAGTCTGATAAAAGAGCGGAAGTGGCTAAAATTCTAAAAGAAACAAAGGAGGTCCTCATTTCACTTAAGATATATGCAAGTAAATTGTACAAACCTTGTTTAATAGAAGAATCATGTGCTTATGTTTGCAATGCTCCTTTAAATGCTTCTCCAGATGGTAGCATCTCGTACCTTGTGGATCTCTGGCATCTAAAACCTGCCATTAAAATTAATAATCAACAACATTGCCTATGTTTTAGTTCAAATATTACCCAGCAAAAAACCAACACTTTCCTCTAATCAAGAACAATACAACATACCAGTCGAATTATATAGACAAAATCGCAGAACACTAAATGAAAAATCTGCCCAAAATCTACCTGGACAACAACATCTGAAGAGTCAATCACTTTGTAGAGCTCTCCCCATATGCGCTTACTTTGACCTTTATCAAACATTGTATGCCGTACAAGTTCTCTGAACCCATCTTCACCTCCTTCAGATGTACTATCACCATGTTTCTCTACAAAAGCATCTGCAAAGTATAATTCAAAAACCATCACGTATGTTCCTAATAAATAAAATGAAATTTAAACTGTCTCAAATGACCCTAAAGATATGTGAACAGACTCACCCTGAGAACCATCAGCTTTCTTGACTAACGCTTCATAATCAGATGCCAGCTGCTTCGGCCTCTTTCTTTTTGTCTTAGGACCAAAAGCATCAGAGAAAGGCTCCGTGTCGAGGAGATGAACTCTTGCTTGCTAAGAACACATTCAGGATAAAAAAATCAGCCAAAAAAAAAAAGATGCAATCAAGACGTGTTCCTGCACATTTACGAACAACGTAACATATTTACTAGCAGTGCTTCAGACCTTTTGATGATCATTCAAGAGGGACATGGGTAGCTTTCTTTCTTTCAAAAGCACATTGTAGTTACTCGAAAGACGAGTTGAAAGCTCCTCGCGGAAAAATTCAAGCTCTTTCTGATTCACTACACGTGTGTTGCCTGTGGAAGTGGATACACAGAGATTACGCTCCAGTTTAAAAGTAGCATATCATTGCTTCTGAACAAAGGCAACGAAGTGACTACAGAAGCTAAAACAACTTTTTACGTGTACAAAAGTAAACTTATAGGACTGATAAGTAAATAAAACTGTTAGAGATGATATGCATGAACAACAGCTTATTTAACATCTAACGCAATTACTCAGTCGCATTCAAAATTTTAAACAGTGAACCAGCTTCATAACAATCAAGAAATGCAATTCTAAAGCTTTTCCAGAAGCCAAATTTCATTAAAACTGTTCTGTCAAACATATTTTTCTGGAGACCTTAATCGGTAAATTGCATCCCCTTAACCTATTTTGAGCTGGCAACAAGCAGCTTATTGTATTACTGTAAGGCTTTGAACACTATTTTTCCTTCAAATTCCTATCACATATTGATAAGATGACTGTTTCTTAATCACAAATGTAATTATAGTGCAATTAGTTAATTATTGTTACAATTTCATTTTGTAGCCAATTGAGACAAATAGTTGATTGATCCATATCCCTTTTAATTGTTAGTGTAAAACACTAAATGATTCTTGCACAATAGTAGACTAGTAAATTTCATTACTAGTGCCAAAAGAAACAAAAATTAAGCACAAAAGCGCACTGCAATTCCAATACACTACCATTTGAAGTCTCGTATTCATTAAATTCCAAATAGAAAGTAAAAAAAAATCAGATATCAGTTAATTGAACTCACCAAACCAACGGCGATCAGGCATAATTCGTGTACACGGCAATTCCTTGGACTGCAAATCATGCTTTAAGATTGTACCCTTTGAATTCCGTATCGGGCGATTTTTGTACATTTTGAGCCGCCGCACAGTGGCGGCGCTCCGAGCGCCACCGCTGGTTTTAGTTTTGCCTCCATCCCTGTTAGCGTCGAGCGAATGTTTCGGTTTACCAGAAACATTCACTGATTTTTCTTTCTTCTTAACCATTTTGTTCAACAGAATTTGGAAGAACTAAACAAGATAAAATGATTGAAGAACTGAACCAGTTTCGACGAGGAGTACAAAACGGCGGTGCAGGGAAGAAGAGGAAGAAGAAGAATTAGGGCTTTGTTTGAAAGGTGGGTCGTTGTATGAAATGGGTCGATAAATATTATTGGGTCAAATTTCAATATCTTTAAAACAAATAACTTTTTTCCAGCCCAAATCAATGCTTTAGGTTTTATATGAAAAATACGTAATATATTTTTATAAAATTAATTCAAAATATATTTGAAGTTTGGAAAAAAAAAAAAATCAGAATTAGTGTCCGAAATTTTGGAAAACTATTTTCGGATCGAAAATCGGAAATTCCATATATTATATATACAATTCCGATTGCGATCCGATTCTTTTCGAACAATTCAAAAATTAGAATTTCGGAAATCAGACTATTAAAAACTATTAAAAATCCTATAGCTATGGTGTAATAACATGTAGATCCCCTATTCTCCCTTAAAGTTTGATTTTTACCTAAAATTTCACTTTTTTTTTTCTTTGTTCGAGAATTCTAAAACTTCACTTAACCTAATAATAGATAGATTATATAATTCGCCATGCACGGGTATAGCTCAACTGATTCTAGGATCATAAGTTGGTGTAATGTTCTAGGATCGAATATTGGCAGCTACAGTGTGAGAATTTTAAACTCTGCAAGATAGATTATAATTCCTCCCCTAAGATTATTTCGATTAATGATTAAACAAAAAAAGAAAATTAATTTATTAAATAATATTTTTGTTTTTACTAAAATATAATGAATTAAGCAAAAACATGGGACTCTATTTGTTCTCCCAAATCAAGTGGTGGCCTTGGCTTTAGAAGAATGTTTGATCTTAACAAAGCCCTTTTCTCAAAAATCACTTGGAATGTGGCTGCCAACAGTGACAAGATGTGGGTTTCCCTGCTCAAATCTAAATACCTTAGAGGGAAGTTTTTTCTTTATGATAATCTTTCATTTAATGCTTATTCTTGGTTATGGACTGACATTAAAAATTCTAGAGATCTTATTCTTAAGGGTGCTTGTTTTCATATTAACTCTGACTCTGATTTGCTTATTTGACAGGACCCTTGGATCACCTCATTGCCTGGCTTTAAACCTTCCCAAAATCCTCAAAACCCAAATCCCATCTCCCCTTTACTTGTTGTCAAAGAACTCATTATTGAAGAGAGTTTATCTTGGAATTTTGACCTTCTCAACCTCACATTCCCTCCTCTTGTGGTGAAAGAAATCAAAAAAATCCATATCTCTCATTTGGCTTTGCCAAAAACTCTTTTCTGGAGCCCCTCCAAGTCAGGGAATTTCTCCTCAAAGAGTGCTTACCTGGTTGATCAATCCCGCCGATTCCTTAACCTAAACTCTTACCAATCTTTCAATTGGAAAAATCTTTGGAATTCAAAGCTTCACAATAGGCACAAGTTACTTTTTGGCTGATTATTAATGATATTCTTCCCACCAAATCTAAGCTTAACTGTCTTTTCCAATCAAGCAACCTTGATTGTCTTTTCTGTGATAATTGTGTTGAAAGTGCCGACCATCTTTTTGTTAACTGCCCTTTTATTCATCAGGCATGGTTCTGTTCTAAATGGAATTTTAGAATTGATCATTTCTACAATACCCCTGTCAGGGAGTGGCTTTCTCTTATTTTTGATAAAAAATAACAACTTTTTCCCCTCTTCGAGCATCAAGGATGAGTTTATTATTTTCACTGCAGTGCTTTTTGATTTTGTTTGGTTAAATAGAAACAAAAAAGCTCATAATTCTCCTTATCTTAATCCACAGGTTCTCTCTAGGAAAGCGAACCAGAGTGCTAATAGCCATTGGAAAAGTCAAATCATCTCCCACACCAGTGCTAAATCTTCACCCAACCTGTCATGGATTCCTCCTCATTTTGATTGGCTAAAGATTAATACTGATTCTTCATTTGATGATGGGAATGCACACTCTAGCTGCATTATCCGAAACTCCAACGGCTCCATTTTGCTTGCCCACTCTACAGCTCATGTCTGTCTTGACGCCCTTGCAGCCGAAGCTCTTGCAATTTTGGAAGCTTGCAAAATCCTTAGCTCTGCAAGAATTAAAAATGCTATTTTTGAAGCTGACTCCCTCGACGCCATCTCCTTCATTGTTAGTGACTCTTGCCCCGTGCATTGGACTGCTAAGGTGGTAATCGAGGAAATCAAAAAGTTCAGTGGATTATGGCCGAAATGGCGCTTTAAATATGTTAGCCGTAATTCAAATTTTGTTGCCCATTCTCTTGCTAAATGGGCTTGTTGCTCTAATTGGGATGGGATTGTTCCTCTTGATCTTATCCCCCTGGTTTGTTTTGGTGATGGGGACACCCTCTTGTAGACTCGTTTATTTCTTGTCCTTAATTTAATTATTAATTATAAAAAAAAAAAAAAAAAATCGAATCAACATGTGCAGCTGGCCCAATAGGATTAATTATTTTGACCTTGAGCCCAAAATATTTTACGCCCATACACAAATTGAAACAAATTCTATTCAACTGACCAATCACTTGTGGCGCGTGCTGTTTTAAATCCAAATTCGCGCGTCGAAAAACCCCTTCTCGACACTCGATGTCGCAATCCCGCTTACGTGGAAACGCCTAACATTTCCACGTGGCAAACTGACATCACTAATTGCACAATCGCACAGCTCGAATGACACGACGGCTTCTTCTTTCTTACCTCCAATAGAAATAAGTGTTCCTCTTTCCTATCGATCAATTGCAAATTTCGAAAACGACACCGTATTTGAGCAACCCCTCTCTCTCTCCTCCAATCGATCCTTCGCCATTAAGGTAGCGGCGCCGAAAATAAGCTTTTTCCACTCGTCGCTTTCTTCCTTTTCATTTCTCTCTCTCTCTCTCTCTCTCTCTCTCTCTCTCTATATATATATATATATATATATATATATATATATAAATTGTGGTTGCGTTGTAAGTGACGACGTGCTTTTTCTCTTTACCTAATTTTCTGACTCATTCTCCATTTTTTCATTCTCACTTCCTTGATCGCATTTTCTATTGCTTTATTAACTCTACAATCAGTTCCGATTTTTTTCTGATTCTGATGATTTATTTCAACTCAATCTACAAATCATCGCTGAAATTTTCGTCCAAACCCTTGTTTCTGTACTCAATTTCGTCCAATTTTTACCACTTAGACAACTTCTCCATAAATTTCCTATAGCATCAACCCTAATTCCTCTATTTTTCTTCGGACTCGCTGAAAATGGGGGATTGTGTGAAATCAAGTTCGATGGATGATTTGCCACTCCACATAATCCTCGATATTTTGACCTCTGGTAGATTGGGTGCGGTGGATTTAGTGTGTTTGGAGTTGACTTCGAGGACTTTTTGGGCGAGTCATGGATTATGCCCACCAAAGTTTCGTTCTTTGGTTGATTTCGCCGCCTTTAGGCTTTGTGGATCGCACCCCATTTACTCGTCTCTTCAGGATAATGCTCGAAGTGAGCTTTACGACCAGTGTAACGGGAATTGGAAACGGGTCTTGAGGTTCTTGCAGTCCGTGGAACAGTCTTCCGACATGGTTCAAACCTCTGCAGGCAACGTACTATTTCTCGATTTTGTGGTTTTTACAACTTCTTATTTCATTACTATTATATTGTTCATAATGTGGTGGCATTTGATTGATATAGGTGACTTGAGATAGTGGTTAGTTTGCTGTATTCATAGTCTGATGATCAGTGTCACGTTTGATACCTGTTAAGTACGGAGTCGTGCTATATATAGCAGTAGTGTTTTGCTGATAATTATCTGCAACATGTTATTTCAGGATAACTTTTACATACGAAGATGAAGCCAAAATAAGCAACGAGTACTACTTTTTGTCACTTCCAACTCTATAGGGAATAACACTCCTTTATACACCAATTCGAGTTACCTACAATTTGTTCGATAACGATTGGTTTGCATTTATGCCCTCATCGAATTACATAATCCACCTTGTGTTTTTTGGTTACAAGTGTATAATAACTTGCTTCAGAAAGAAGAAAATACTAGAAATTTTCATTTTCAATCAATATGTACTTGCGCTAGGTGTAGTTGCTGCATCTTTTATTTACTCTTTTCACTAATCCCAGTAAATTTTCAGCAGATGCAGATCAAGAGCGGAAACTATCACACGTTGCTGATCAACGACTTTAGAGTATACTCTTGTGGTTCCAACATATGTGGTGTTCTTGGCCATGGTCCAGAAACAACACAATGTGCAGCATTTACCCCAATCGGTTTTCCTTCACGAGCTCGAGTTATTCAAGTCTCAGCATCCCACAACCATGCAGCCTTTGTTACACAGTCTGGAGAGGTGAGTCATGCTCTTTGCGCTTCGTCAATTTACTGCGTATTCTCGGATTGTATGTTGAGGAAAATCCGTAATTTTTACGTTGTTTTTTCTCTGCCGTGATGCGTGTGATCTTGTTAGAGATGCAACTCGATTTGGGTTTGCTTTTACGAATCATAGTTTTGGAATGAAAATGCAAACGATTATTTATATACAAATGCTCCTTAATTTCATAGTTTTTATAATCAGGACTTTTGGTTGGCCATGCAGGTTTTCACGTGTGGGGATAACGTATCATTTTGTTGCGGTCATAGCGACACAAGCCGCCCTATATTCAAGCCGAAGCTTGTTGAGGCACTGAAGCATATCCCTTGCAAGCAGGTGGGCCATTTAAATTTGCCTTTAATTCTGTTTTTCCTTTCTTCTAATTTTCGTTGGAATTTTCAACAATAATTTAGTACTGAACTGAATCCTTCAGGTAGTTGCAGGGGTGAGCTTCACGATGTTCCTCACAAACGAAGGCCACGTCTACACTTGTGGGCTAAACTCACAGGGTCAACTCGGCCATGGAGATACACAGGATCGGCCCACCCCGCAAAAGGTGGAATTTCCCGAATCTGTTTCTTCCATTGTTCAGATTGCTGCGGGCCCCACTTATGGTCTTGCCTTGACGAACGATGGAACTCTCTTCTCCTTTGGGTCCGGCACTAATTTTTGCCTTGGCCATGGAGAGCAGCACAATGGGCTTCAGCCTCGTGCAATTCTTTCACTCAAGAGGAAGGGTATTCACGTAATTCGTGTCTCTGCTGGCAACGAGCATGTTGTGGCTCTCGATTCCAACGGACATGTATGTATATATATACATCTATATCGTACACCGATTTTAGTATCTTAAATTTATTTGGGTGTTTTATTGCTTGCAGGTATATACTTGGGGCAAAGGCTATTGTGGTGCATTGGGCCATGGAGATGAGATTGACAAAATAACTCCGGAGCTACTCACCAGCATCCGAAGCCACCTCGCCGTGCAGGTCAGAAAATTACCAAAATAACCCTTTTGCCTCTTTTTTTTTTTCTTCCTCCCTCCATGTTTTGATGTGTATTACACTGCCCTATTGATACTTCTGTTGATAGGTATGTGCTGGCAAGAGGAAAACATTCGTTCTGGTGGATGATGGATCGGTTTACGGGTTTGGTTGGATGGGTTTTGGGAGTCTTGGTTTTACGGATAGGGGAGTTTCCGATAAGATACTTAAGCCTCGAGTTTTGGAAAGCTTGAAACCACACCATATTTCCCAGGTTAGCACAGCATTGTACCACACTGTTGTTGTTACAAACGAGGGGCGAGTTTTGGGTTTTGGTGATAACGAGAGAGCTCAGCTGGGGCACGACTCTCTCAGGAGTTGCCTTCGACCCACTGAAATCTTCATTGAAGGAAAAGTAGTAGACGATGCACGACAATAAAAAAACAATAAAAAAAAGATGGTGTTTTGTTGAGTTTGTTGTACCAATGGCTTTGTGATTCTTGATTTGTTTATAATATGTATTTGTGTTTTTCTTTGTTCTTTTTTTGTGTTTATGAAAACGAATATACTGTTGTGATTTGAGTTTATAACATATTGTAAAATGTATTGGAATTTGGGAAGTGAAATGCAGTCTTGTGAATTTGTTGGTTGCATCGAAGAATCTGATTACGTTGGGATTGTAGAATGTAGATAGGTTGTTTTTTAGCCTGCATGCAACAAACTGGGATATAAAGTTAAAAACCTCAATACCATGTTGTCTGCTATTCAACAATAAATACAGAGAGGCTTACACACTGTCACGCATGTTATGTTATTTTATTTTTTTGGGATTAATCGATTTATTTCTTTCTTTTTAATTTACATTTTTGCCAACAATAATAATAGGGCCTCTTTGGTTGGAGGGCTTCGAAATATAGAGAGGGATGGGATGGTTAATATTGAGATAGAAGTGTTGACAAGTTATACTTACTACGACATTTGGTTCGTGATATTGTCTCGGTACTAATATTCCCAGACTAACAATACGCCGTTTTGTGTACTTGATTCTTGTAGACATAATTGGTAATTTCCGTAAAAGCCCTTCACATATAATAATATATCATGTTTTCATAAAGCCCCAATCAACTGCAATTTTTAACCACAATTTCGAACCCTAAATTGGAAATCGGTGAAAAATAAAATCTGCCATTCAATCGAGTTAAATCGTTGAATTCGTTACATCACCATGAGTTCTGGTAGTAGTAGCTCCCATCGGAGAACGGGCAGCAACAATTTTAGCGGAGTGAAGATAAATCGAGAAATGCCAAGATATTGCGATTGCGGGTACATGGTCGCCGTACAAACTTCATGGACGGCTACAAACCCAGGACGACGGTTCGTAGCTTGCCCTGAACGGGGGGTAAGTTGTTTCCCCACTAAATCAAAATTGATGGATTTATTTTAACTAATTAGGTTTATGTATTACTGAACCTTAATGGCCGCGATTTTGATGTTGGGCAACTGTTCGGTTATAAGTTAAAACCAGAGAACGGCTATTGCAATTGTTTGTTAGTGTTATTCAGTGGTTCTTCAATATTGGAACACTTATTTTAAGATTTTGGTTTATGCAATGAATTATCTGGTGTCGTATTAAATGCCTTGTTCTTAATTATGACAACTGAAAATTTCAACGCTGCTAATCTGGTGTCGTAATGTAATGAATAATTTTAACATTAGTTCTTAATGTACTGACTTATTTTAATTTCTAGTTCATATTCGTACAATATGTTTGATGCTACCGAATTGAACATACAATTTCAGGTTAGTGGTTGTCGTTTTTTCAATTGGTGTGATCCTGAAATGTGTGATAGATCGAAGCAAATTATACCAGGCTTGCTCAAAAGAATCAACTATTTGGAGGCGCAAGTTCCATTGGAAGTCTCCGCGTTGGTTAAGAAGATATCAGATTTGGAATCCCAATTGCCGCAGCAGAGTGATGGGAATGGGGGGAAACGGGGATCTTGGTTTTTGTCGGCCCGTTTAGTTTTGTGGGCGGCTTCGGTATCAGTTGCTTGTGTACTCTTTTATTATGTGGTTGTGTTGTAATATGTTCTGCTGTACATATCGGATTTGAATGTACTCATGCATAAAATTGAATAGAGTACTTTTTGTATTGGCAAAACCAATGACAGTATCAGCATTTGTATTACGTAATATATATGATACTCACATTTCAGCTTTCAAATATTAGGACTACGTCGTTATATTTATTTCATTGTGTTTTAAATGACTTTTGCAAAAGGGAGAATAATACGAACACACAACCATATGGATAATAAATATAACCATCCGACTTAATATACGCAAAATAGTTCTTCCAACAAGGTGACGTACTACCCCAAAATTCGGAATCTTACTTCCGCGCTTTTAACACATACTTAAAACAATAAAATAAACAAACATACTTCGATCAGACTACCAGATAAAAAAAAAAAAACAAATTAAAATAAGTGTTCTTAACAACGAAACAGAAATATCCAAATTCAGATTATACATAGCCTTAAATATAAAACGTGATCGTTACGGGGAGCGAAATTCGGGTACTTCAACCTGATCCACGTCACCTCCGAATGGAACGAGTGCACGATTTTCCGGAGGAACCTGTTGAGGATCAACAATCTCGCCATCATCCCCTCCGTGAATGATGATTGGATTATCGCGATGGTATCCGGTGAAACCTCGAAAGTTGGCTACGGGAGCTTCTTTATCTTCGAACACGTATTTGCATTGTTCGTAGAACTGAAATCCATTCACCCTAAACGCCCTCTCCTCTTCCGTCTCCTACAAATGGAATGCATATTGTTTCGTTATTATCACTGATTAACAATATATTAAACGAAGCACAAAAAAAGAAAAAAAATACAAATCTTACACGACGGTCCAAATGCCAAAAACTTCTATCCAATGTCACCTTCCTCTTCGAGCGGATGAACGTCACACCATCCTGCGCGATGTATCCCTTGAATGCTAAGTAACGTTTTCGAAACCATTCCAATCTCCATTTGATGTCAACCTCCGCAAAGTTTCTTGAGAAATGATAGTTCATTGTCATGATAACTTCGAATAGGAGGTCTTCGTACGCCTCTTCGTTTTGCAACGTAACCACGGAGCGTGAAAATCTGGCAGCGGCATTCATTAGGCACTCATCGTACGCAACGGGCCACGATTCATTGTTCATCCTTGCCAAGTGAACCTGATTGCGGGTTCTTGGTCTCGACATTACGCCTAAACAATGGAAGATGAATTAATCTGATGAACATACCACACCGAAACAAGATTAACAAATATATAATTAAACGGACGTCAAAATAAAACTGCCAAAATTATGCAAACCTTACAAAGTTGATGAACGCAACAAGTGCAATTTCGGATTTAGCAAATGTGAACGCAAACTCCACAAGTTGTACCCGAAATAAATGGAGCCCTAAAGGAATTTAATGTAAAAAAGTAGAGGCATTGATTGGTTGCACCAATCGGTCATATTCGCCGGTTGATGTACACGTCAATACAATGTATTTGTATTGTGTGTTTAATGCATGATAATAAATTTAGGCTGCAAAGAAATGATTAATCACTGTTCACGAGAGCTCTTAATGCACACCTAACCATTGTCTATTCGAATTCTTCTCCATTTTCTTCAAGAACAATTAAAGTTCTTCCGACTTGTCATCTGCAATAAGTAGTTGTAATCCTGCAAATTCCATTAAACCACCCCTTTTTTTCAATTAAAAACGTCAAAAAATGACAATTGAAAGACAATGATGGGATAGAATGACATGGTAAATAATACCAAATCTGCACTTCACCTCTACAAAATTTTGTGTTAATACTTTAAATTCATATTACTGCTACCGAAATAAATTGTATACATTAAGATGCTTACCTAACTCCTTAAAGACCTATTTGATTTACTTATATATGCGGAGTGTTTGTATAACAAGTTCAAACAAATGTAAGTACTTAATCCCATATGCATAGTTAACATGGCTCCAAAAAAGAAACCAATTTGTAGGCAAGAAGATTTTCTATACGAGTTAGAGTGGACTGAAGCAATCGATGACTATTTTGTGGAGTTACTGACGTGGGAATCTAGTCTGCGCAATTTCGACCGTAATGGGGCAAATACTCTTGCCCTATTGAGTTGTCAAGAGTTGATTCAGCACAAATTCGACAAGTGGTTCTCATACAAGCATTTGAATAAGAAGATGATGTTATTAAAAAAGAGGTTTGTTACGTTTCATTGGATATTGTCACAGGAAGGGGTAGCATATAATGCAACCACTAACATCATCTCTGTATCCAAAGATGTGTGGAATCATATATTAAAGGTTTGTACGTAAGCAAAGTTTAATTAGTATTATTTTCCTAACAAACGTTAAGTACTTAAATATAAATTATTTTTATTTTTCAGACAAGTCATTATGCCGGAGCTTATAACCCCGTTGGCGAAATACGGTATGACGAGTTGAAGTGTATCTTTGGAAGTGACCCCGTGGATAACCCAAATGACGGTGAGGAGATTATCATTCTGTCTTCCGATGAGGATGAGCCAAAAAAGAATGAGGAACTGAATGTAGGTGGTGTAGCAAATCCAATTGGAGCGGACCGATTTGGAGTCAATGCCCATGCATTTGACCTAATGGCCCAACAAGAGTTTGCCAATGTTGTCCCTAATGATGCCAAGAGGGTCATCAACATTTCTTCGGGTGTATGGGGCGATGGTGATTTAGATATGATGCCTCACCAAAACTACGTATCCGATTCCGAGGGTTCAAGGGACACCGAAGTAAGCACGGCTAACTCACGTTTTGTGGATCAACCTTCCGCCAAGGGTAGTTCTATGTTGAGATCGAGGGCTGATTGTGCAAACAAATTCATGCCTTTCGGAACTCCAAAGAGCTCGACCGCTTCAAACAAACCACCGTTGGGTGCATTTTATACCCCCGAAAACAATGGAATGTGAACGTTTGCGTGATTGGGCTTTAAATGATATGTTTGTTTTGTGCATGTGCCATAGGTTACGTGCTTGTGTTCTAGAATAGTACGTAACATATTTGCATGAAGTATTTGTTTGCCTTTTGATAGTAGGTAGGCAAACTGATATCCTAATTGGTATTAGTGCTATGTTTTTCAATTCGATCTTTATAAGCTTTGTTTTGTCAATTAAAAACACATTACCGTATACAATGATACCAAAATATAGCAAGGTATTGGGGTAATTATAATACCATATAATCAAGAGTCGGGTCAAACATAAAGTCGTACATAGATAAAGTTCACAAGAAGCAGCAAAATGCAAATGTATCATTACATTAATGTTCATATTAAAATCCAAATAACCATTTAATACCGCCCTTCTAAGATCAAATCCACCATATTTGCTTTGTGGTCCTCACTCAAACAGAAAAAGATGTCTAGGTCTTTGCTATTGTCACAGATTTTGGAAGTGACTTTGAGCCTTTCCTCGAAAGTGAGATGTTGCAAGTTTTCGAGGGCATCAAACACTTGTTTCCGTGCAGTAGACACATCTTTCTCGAAGCCCATACGGCTTACAAGTTCGTTCATTTGGGACTCCATTTTCTCAAAAAACTTAGACGTCATCTCAATATACCCACTTTCAATCGCGTCAACGCGTGGCCGCTTCTTCGATTTGGATTTAGATTTTGCAGAAGTTGCTTCATCAGCTCGGCTGAATGTTTGGTATTGTGAGTAGTTATCGGATCGTGAAGGATCCACTTGTGGGACGTATTCGTCGTCGTTGGAACAAGGTTCTTTACCTTTCGAGTTGGTGACCAAATCGTTGATGGCTTCGACAAACGTTTCAGCATGTTCACCTGTGGCACGGTCCTTTCCAAAGACCGTAGTCCAGTCTTTGTAAAATGGCCATGACTTGTACCTCATGGAACGGGCATTAGCATCCGTCTAGGTAAACATGGCAAACAAAATAATACTTAAAAATGCGTATTATAAAATCAGTGCATTGAACCCCATGAATTATGAAAAAGGATTTAGTAGTTTGATCTACCTTTACGTACTCTTGCCAAACTTGTTCGTCAATGACTTCAATGGTATTGTTTGTTTCATTCCAGCCGAATCCCGACCTCGATAACATTGTGCTTAGCGATGCATAATGTTTTTTCCACACGTGTATCTTAGAATGGATATGTGGGGTTGCTTTGAGGTCGGTACCGGGGAATTTTTGTACCATATATTGTTCAAGAGTTCCTAGAAACCCAGTTTTAAATCCATTTTCACATTTCCATCCACTCGAGACAATATCTTTCAACCCTAATACTAATGTCTGTTCTTCAACAACTGTCCAACTACGTCTGTTATTGATGACACCATTCTTATTGTTTGTACCTTTTTTCGAACCAGCATTAGATTCCATGATGCCTGAATTTTTTGACGTCAATGTATTAACAAAAACGAAGTCTTACAAACAAACATGCAATTAAACAATCTGATTTTCCAAATGTAACGTCTCTTACAACACAAATACATTTTGTAATCAATGAAATGAAATAAAGTAAAGTAAACAAGAAAACTAAGCAACAACCAACACATCCGAAATAGTGTTTAACGCGAAGCAAGCCACTCATTGTACATGTTCATTGCAATTGTATCCCGTCAATTGGTCCATTCTTCTGAACTTTCTACTGTATTAATATAGTCTTCTCCACTAATTATTCCTGGATTTTTACGGAAAAAATCATCTAATGTTTCTTCTTCGGGGTCAAAGTCATTGGTTGTTCGTATGAAATTATGTAACAGGCAACAAGCCATTATGATCCTATTTTGAACTTTAATGGGATAATAAGAGGAACTTCGTAGAATGGCCCAACGTGACTTCAAAAGACCAAATGCCCTCTCGATGATGTTTCTTGCCTTTGCATGTTTCATGTTAAAAAATTCTCTAAAATTTCTCGGGGCATTTGGACCTTGGCCGTAAGCATCAAGATGGTACCTAGTACCTCTGTAAGGTGCTAAAAACCCTTCACCATTCGTGTAACCGTTATCAACCAAACAGTAATTACCTGTGGAATAGTGCACAAGTTTACTACAACTAAAAGTGGCTAATTGGGTGAAGAATGAAGCGAATTGTAATTAAATATTGTCGTTGAGTACCCTATACATATACAAACATACCCGTGGGGACCCGTAGACCATTGTCTCTAGTGACTGCATCCCGCAGAATTCTACTATCGGCTGCCGATCCTTCCCACCCGGTTAGTAAGTAAATAAAATTCATATTGTCATCGCAAACGGCTAACACATTAACAGACACATTGCCCTTGCGATTCCTATATCTTGGTTTATCAAGACAAGGTACACGACAATCTATATACGTTCCATCTAGGGCACCAAGACAACCCTAAATAGTTTATTCATGACGAGGATAGTGATTTAGAACAATTTTTACAAGTAGTTGTAATATGAAAGTAATTGCAGTCAATATACATTTAGTACCTTAAAGTATGAAAACCGCTCGTTTTCTGAATTTTCGCCAACCGGCTTAGGGGTTATTAAAAGCATTTCGTGTAACTTCAACAAGGCTACAAGTACCTGATTAAAATGCTTGCTAACAGTGTACCCTGATCTATTGAAATGGCTTTTAACAACAACATTTTTGGTGTGATGAGCCAAAATTTGAAGAAACATTGCAACTTGCTCGGGTACGGTGACATTTCTATTCGGTTTAAGACCACCAACATTTTCTAAAACATAACATAAACGATAGAATGTTTGAATATTCATTCTAAGATTATCACGACAGGCAACATCGTTCAACCCAACTATAGAACGCAAATATTCGAGTTGTGAAGGTGTTCTTCCTATCATACTATAAGTTTGATTATAGCTATCCGTAGACCTCAAACAACGACGCTTAAATGTGGGAATAATATGCATCGACACTAAGAAGAAAATCCTCAAGCTAAAAATTAGTTGATGCAAGACAACTATTATTTCTTCTTCTCGGTTTGACAAAGCCATCCTAAGCCAAGAAGTTCCTACAAAATATATTCACAAATCTGTTTAACCAAAAAAGCCCAATCGTGATTCCTGCCACACGTTTACAGAATTGGGACGTGTGCAGTACAGAGAACATCGAACTCTCAAATACAATGTGAAAATAACAGATAAATGAACGCAAACAAATTGAAACAAATTTCGCAATCGTACGATACACATTTGTAAATGTAAATTAACACAGAGCACTAGCAGATAATTAATATACGGATGGCCCAAATGATACATATATAGCAGTCGATTTAGTACCTGTATCCTCCTCTCGAAATCCGTTTACGAGAATGGCGGGATGTACAATAAAGCGAAACCTTGATGGACTCTCTTGAAGAACAAAACCCTAAATCAGTATAATGGCAACGGAAAATTACCTAAATGAAAACAATCTGCAATTTCATATATACTGAATGATTTCAACGAGAATTTTAAAAAATGCAACGACCCTGCAATTTCATATTACCTTTCCACAAATGTTGGGTGTGGCTGAACAGGAAGCTTCAATTTCAGTCTGCTCTTCAGGTGTGGCTGGGTAAAATTAGGGCAGCAAAGTCACGGGGAATTTGACAAAAAAGTTCGTTTATATATGTAGTATATTTGTAATTTTTTCATTTCTTGAGGGCAACTTAGACATTACACACGCCACCCAGATGTATGGACTATCACGTGTTAATTAGTCAAGGCAAATTCGGCTTGACAAATAATAAATCATATGCGTGATAAATCAAGTAGGACCACATATCCCGAGCCATTGTGACAGCCGAACCAAACACCGTATACGGAGGGACTTTTCGTCCCATCAAGCGTAATAACGCGTACCAAAGGAGCCCATAGTGTAGATAGTCTAGCGCTTGGAGCAAGTGAACATGAGTTAGTTGACTCGGGTTCGAATTCCTTTATTTACGGTTGCTAGGTGTGGCTTGTTGTTACACATGGTTATCCTAGTTTGGTTTATGACTCTTGTATGGTTTGCAAGCTATTATACGAGAGTGTAGGCTTACTCAGTGCACCTATATGATTGGCTGCAAGAATCGAAATCCTTGGTAACCAAAAAAAAAAAAAAAATATATATATATATATATATATATAATGAATAAAGAGACTTTGGATATATTAACTAGATGGGATGTGAAATCTGATAATGCCCCTCTCGATGATTTTATTTTATTTTCTTGTTTACACTAGATTCCAGAATCAAAAAGAGGATCAAAATTAACATTATAATTCTGAAAACGGAAATCCTGTCCACGAATTTAATTTGACAGTTCCACATTCACATCACATAGCCAACTTTTATTATTGCAAATCAAATCGCAGTTATGATTTTAGTCACACGTTCCATGCCACTAATCAACTCAAACATTACTATATTTTGTTTGAAAAGAACGTTAAATTATTATTATTTTTTTTTTTATTTCTTTGCTACTAAAAAATTATTTAATTGAACACGCTTTCATTTTACCATCGCTATATTGGTGTACATAAATTGATTTAAATTTTCTTTAGCATTGATTTAGGTATGAAACGTCACCAAAAAAGAAAATGCAATAGAAGATACATAGGGCTGCTTACTTGACTAAATAGCTAAATGAATAAGACAGCCAGCAAATAGATTAGAGATAAAAATACTATTAAGCAACTATTATTATATATAAACCAAAGGTACCAAATCTTAGTATTCTGATCTCATTAACATGGTATCACAAATCTTTGTCACATATCAAATAATAGTAAAAAAATAAAAGAGACAGCCATATTTCTTGAAATTCAACATATGATTAGGTACATCAATCAATTAATTAATGAGCAAGAGGCCATTTTTCTATTACTACTACTAATGTTCTGGCTAAGTAATTTTTTATTTGGATGTTTGTGATTCTAGAATTGGCATTTCGAGTCAAACTGAAGCCAATACGGTAAAATGACGGGTTTTTAGCGTATTGCACCATCAATTATATGCTTTTAGTTCTTTCACCCTTAAATTTGCAAAATTGGCAGATTGCACCATTTTGAAATATAAATTTCTTGGCATTTTGCACCTCAGATCACTTTCTGCTTTACTGGCAATTTGTTGGGCGACGATGTTTAAGAATTTCGGGGTGGATGTAAAGTGATTTGGAGTGCAAAGTGCCAAGAAATTTATGTTTGAAGGGTTCAATTTGCCAATTTCACAATTTAAGGGTGCAAAATGCCAAAACATGTATTTCAATGGTGCAAATTGCCAAAACCCCGGCTTTTGAGATCCTACACCGGGTGAAATACACCGGGTAGATCTTTACCATTCATATACACACAAACACACACACACCCACATTGGTGTGTGTAGATCAACGATAAAAAATCACCCGATGTAACCTTCACCGGGTGTAGGATAGATAAAACCCAAAACCCCCCACAAATGACTCATAAAGTTATATGGTGGGTCGGGTCAAAGCCATTACATGTTGGTTAAAATCTGATTTTTTTTTTAAATTCCATGAATACCTAGTGTATCAAATGAGACCAATTAAACAACATAACACTATACTAAAGAAAATGTAGTATGAACTAACACATTAATTAGTATAGATTATAATGCTTTAAAGACTTCAATAGATTGTCCAAACTAGTGAGACAAGGTATGGTCTCTTCATACACAATAAAAAATGTATTTTTATTTTCTTTTCTTTCTTTCAAAATCAATAATAATAAATGTAGTTGTCTTGTAAGATTAATAACTTTAAAGGACAAAAAGCCAAGAAACTTTTGCTTGCAAAGAATTTGAGCACAATAAAAAAGGGATTACAAGTAGATCATAGTTCATACATCTAACTATTAACATGTTTCCATGCATGATTCAAAAAAGTTCAAAAAAGTACAACTACTTTAGATTTATTACCAAACAACAAAAGCAAATAAAAAAAATAATAAACAAAACCTCAACAATGACAAACCCAAAAAAAGTACAATACATGCTCATATTCACAAATATGTCCCTCCTTCTCAAGACTCAACTCTAAACAAGAGCTAATCAATTAGTGCTTCTTAATCTACAAAGATTAAGATTAATTGACCATTGATCACTAAGGGTGCATTTGGATTGAAGGATTTGAAATGACTCGAGACGAGATTTAAAATCCATCACAAATTGCTCAAAGAAACAACTAGAACGAGAGCTAGTGATTAATCAAAATTCCTTGTCAAATGACAAACTCTATGGATTTGTTATTATAGATTTGAAATCGCTGCCTCAGATCCTTCCATCCAAATGTCGGATGCAGCCTCAAATCATAGACTCCAAATTTTCCCGAAAAACCTCCAACATACTAGCAAACGTCACAATCCCGACCAAACTACAATCCTCCTCAACTACCCAAACATAATTCACGCGGTGCGCGATGGCTTGTATCATCACCGCCACCAACGAGCTCCACGGTCGGCAAACCACCGCCTCCGCCCTCCTCCCCATCCGCCCCGAATTGCACCACCGCCCCTTCCTCCCCAACACCGTCGTGGGCGACGGCAACTCCTCATCGGACGACGACGAATTCCCGCAATGCGTTCCCGCCACAAACTCCTCGAGCATCCCCTCCAAGCCCCTCTCCCTCAACCTCTCCTCCACGAGCCTCGAGATCTCCTCCGGCGGGCCCCCGCAGTCCATGTAGGACATGAGGTCGCCGGCCGACAGCGTCACGACGGCGGGGGCCACCGTCTCGTCGCAGCACGCAAGCGCGAACGGCGAGATTTCCCCGATGAGGACCCCCGCGTCGTCGACCACCGCGACCGACGTCCGGTCCAGCAGGGCCCGCGAGAGGGGCCCCACAGCCGACGAGGCGGGGGAGTGGTAGTCCACCGTGGGGTGGTCGTGGCTGATGATGCCTAGGGCTTCGACGGAGAGCATCGGAATGGTGGAGAAGAGGCCGATCGAGCTGAGGAGGAATCTGATGACGTCCTCCTGCGTCAGCCAGCAGAATTCCTGGCTGTGATTGTGCGTTGTCGGAATTATTGATGACTGTGATCTTGGGAGCGGTTTCCTTCTGAAATTGCTCTTTATGGGGACCACCAGATTGTGGGCCCCGTCGAGGATTAGATCAATGGCTTCCAGTAAGCTGAAACAAACAGGAATTTATTAATCCGAATTTAGGTCATTAATCTTTAATTAATTAGTATAAATTAGCCTAATGTTGGCAGAATAGAGCAGAACAGAAACAGAGCAACCATAATTAAATTCAGATCCGGTAATTGTAAGATTACCCAATTTCAATCTGAAACTTAGATCCATGTTTAATTAAGCTAAATTGCAGAACAGAACATTCTAGAGAGAGAAAGAGAGGAGAGAGAGAGGGGGGTATGTAATTGTACCTGGAAGAGGGTTCAACATGTCGGACAAGGCCGTTAACTTTAGAAAGCAAAACGGAGACGGAAGAATTGAGGGCAGAAGAAGGTGAGGATAAATTGTCTTGGCGGCAAAGGAAGCAAATAATGTCAACCATGCAGACTTTGCCCACACAAACGCAGTCGAGATTTCTGTTGGTGGAGGAGTGGTTGCAGCTCCAGACGCTGATGAAGTTGTCGTCGGAGGATTTGAGGGCGGAGAGGGCGTCGGCGACGGTGGCGGATGAGGAGAGAGAGCGGAGCGGCGGCTTGCCTAGGCAGAGATCAGCCACCTCGTAGGACAACAAACGAACTGCCATGCAAAAATCAGTGAGTGTGTGCAAGTTGGGAGAGTGGTTTTTTTTTTTTTTTTTTTTTTTTTCTGGAGAAATTGGGAGAGCGGAGAAGACAACGAATGTGAGTTTGAAGAGTGAAGTGGAGTATTTTGCAGGTGAGGTGTTGCGTTTATAAGGAGGTGCAGTGTAGGGGCAAATCCGGAAATATGGTTAATGTTTTTTTTTTTTTAAATAAAAAATGGGACAAAAAAAAGTTTGTTACACTTGATCATTTAACAAAATATAATGCAATTAATTTTATTTTTTAGAGAGGTGGCCAAATACATAAAAATACAAATAAATACCAATAAAAACTACTTTTATATGGAGGAGTACTCAGTACAGTACTCACAAGCATGGTTGTCAAATCGTAAATCGAATCGAAAATCGTTTTGTCAAATTTGCGAATCGTAAATCGTAACGAATCGTAAATCGTAAGATTTATTAAATTTCATTAAAATATTAATATATTAAATAATGTACACATATTTATGAGACATTGTATAATATTAACAACAATAAATATATATATATATATATATATATATATATATATATATATATATATATATATATATATATATATTGTATATATTGTTGCATAGAAATCTACAATCAAACTACAAGGTTATATGATTAATATGCTAATATTTCAAATTTTATAGTAAATGGACTATACAAAAATTTAACACAATAAAAACAAAAAGTTTAATATCAAAAGAATTTCATTTAATTTGTAGTATTTGTCAATGCATGGCAATTGACGTGTGTCCGAGTAAATCAAATATAACATTGAAAAGAAATAAGAATAAAACTCTCTTGAATATACCTGCTACTTTATAATGTTATTAGAGTTGCAAAGTACAATAAAAATATTATTAATTTAAAAAAAATACAATTGCAGATGAACAATATCAAAAGAAGAAAAAATAGTCATTATAAGATGTAAAGTGTTGGTATTACGAGGAATTATCATATATTATTTTATTTGTACTTAAAATCTAATATTTTAGCACAATTTTTAATTTTATTCTGAAAATATATTTTTTTGCTGAAAATTGTCCAAATCGTAAAAATCGTAAAAATCGTACAAATCGAATCGTAAATCGTACAAATCGAATGCAAATCGTACGATTTTTTAAGATTTACGATTTATTCAACGATTTGAATCGTGAAGGATTCAAATCGAATCGAATCGTACGATTCAAATCGTAAATCGTACGATTTTGATAACAATGCTCACAAGTACTACGTAAAATGAGATTTTCAATTTTAGGAAATGATAAATTACTTATTTTGTAATACTAATTATGTGCAAGTAATAATAAAAATCACAGCTTAAAAATAAAAGAATACAAAATGTGAGTTAAAATATCCAATATGTTGTGATTAAAATGTTGAAGGTAAATTACGGTCAACCCTTGAGGTAAGGTCAAATTATGAAAAAATCTCTCTTATTGGACACTTACAAGTTACAACCACTTTCTCAACTATGAATGTTCTTATATGTTTATCCTTGTGGTGTCAAATTTAGTGGAATTTACTAAATTATGTGGAATATTCTCCAGTTTGTATCTATTTTACCACATTCGAGCTCCAGTACATTTTGAAACAAGATGATCATACAACGTGTCTCTTGACTTGTAAGTATCAGATTGTGATGCACCATAAACTGTATTTTTCCACAAACAAATACAAATTAGAAAACATTCAACAGCATCAAGAAAATTTTGTTGAATTTGAAACCATAAAGGTGGACGTGTAAGAAAATTCATGTTGAGAGGTGATTGTAATTACCAAATAAGAGAGATTTTTTTGGTAATTTAACATTATCCAAGTGATGCCGGAATTTACAATATGTTAAATATTTTCATGAACGTTATATGAAGGGAAATTAGATGCCACACCTAATTTGTATTAAAATCGTAGACTAACACACAATGACATGATAACGATTTTATTTAATTAAATCTAGAGTGGAATTCATGCAATTTAAATATCTAGGTGTAACATCTAACTCTACCACGTGGACGTTACGGAGAGAGTTGTATTAAATGATGAGGAGGTACGGTCGAGAAAGAGTAGAGCGCGGTGGGACCCACGTGGACGGAAAGCAAGAAGGCGAAGTGAGGAGTGGGGTCCATTTGCTGGAGTTTTTGTCCGAAATTATACCACATCCCAACTATATTTCATGGTTGGACCATGAATTTGTACTAGGTGGTAAGACTGTATGCATTATTTTATATTTCATGGTCGTAATTTTTAAACTACTATTTTATAATTTATTATCTGAATTAGCATTATTTAAGAATAATACTTATAATATTAATGTGGAGCCACCTGAAGTAACTCAAATCAATGGAGGTATTTTTTTATTTTATTTTTTGAGAAAGAGGTATTTCAAATTAATGGATCAAGATTGCATGTTTCATTGCCTTGTCGATTATTTTTTGAGCTATCCTTTTTCTTGAACAAATTACTAATATACCCCAACCCCAGATTAACAACTTGACTCTTGGGGGAGAGGGGCAAATTGGTCGATTGAGATCATTTTCTTACTATAATTATAACATGATAATTAAATTCAAATTGACGACTTGACTCTTTGGAGAGGGGGCACAAATTGGTCGATTGAGGCCATTTTCTTACAACGATTGACACAATTGATTTCAAATCAACAACCTGACTCTTGGGATAGCGGGGCAAATTGGTAATTATACTTCGAATATCAACATTATTGCATACTCATATTACAAGTGACTGGAAAATAGAATTTTTGATCTCTTATTGTAATATCAACATTTTGTATTTTTTTAATCCAAAATACAATTCTGGAACTAATTTTCACATTCGAATATTCTCAATTATTTTCTATTTTTTTTTTTAGGTTTTACTTTTAAAAAAAGTACTATTTCGTTGAAAGTTATCTATGTCTTGTTTTCACGGTGAATTATTATCACAATTAGAGTTATGAGTCTCGTTTAATTAGGATGTGTGATGTATACATACGCAATAAGTAAAAAGGTTTTTTCTTGTGATATAAGTTGTTCCAAAATAAATGTGCATGTGTAAACAAATCGAGTCGAACTGATACGGTCGTCTATTAGATTGTTTAAATTTTATCGAGCTTTTAAAATTGTGTCTGAGTTTGGTTTGATAAGTAATTGAGTCGAGCTGGAACGAACTTTTAAATCAGCCGAACACGAATTAAACTCGAGTAACTCGCTTGACACATTTTATCATTCATCTCTTTTGAAAGAATTTATGGTCCCGAATTCGTTTAATACAGAGATGTTATCTAAAATGTTATGACACTTGAGACAACATGCAGCGGAAATATAAAGATTAAAGGACAATACTCAGAATTAAAAATGTTCACAAGTAAAGACTTGTGAACTTGCCCTTTACAGGACGAAAAATATATTAAAATCAGTATTCCAAGAATACAAACAGAAGAGGTGCGAAAACTTCTTCCTTATGAATGAATCTTTTTCAAGATCATTCTTACAATCAAATCTAGATACAAAAAGAAAAATATTAAAAATTCTAGATTTCAAAGATGTACTCGTGAGGAGTACGTAAAGAACTTATGAATGAATCACTATCTTGATCATTCTTACAACCAAGTCTAGAAACATATATACTAAACAATCTAGACTACAAAGAATGTACTTATGAGAAGTACGTAAAGAATGTACTCACGAAGAGTACAAACAACCGATTCTAAAACCTAACTAAAACACTCGTGTATTCTCTTCAGCCCTTGGTTTTTATTTCGTAGAATCGATCAATTTCCTTGAGTCTTGAAGTCGGTATTTATAGACATTCCAAGCTTCCACTACTCAGCCCATGATCTGCAAGAAAACCAACCACAAGAGCACTCAAGAAAATGGGTTAGTGGGTTAGTTTAAGGAGTTAGAATAATATTCACAATTAAACCCACTTAAGCACTACTTAACCCACTAACTACTATACTTAACCCACTAAGCACTACTTATTTAATAATTAAAATTTAGTTAGAAAAATAGGAAAGTTAAAAACAATTCCACGTGTTTCAAACTCCCCCTTTTTAACTTTCTGATCAAAACTAAATTTTAGCTTAACTCCCCCTGAGTCATTGCTTGAACTCCCCCTGAATATGATAACCAATATAGCAAATAACAAAATAGTGCAATTCAAAGTCTCCTCAGTATCAGCTGTTGTTCCTCCATCACTAGTACTGGATCCACTACTTTCCTCTGCTCCTTCAGCTTCACCCTGCTTCAACTTCATGATCAGCTTGTTCTCCCCCTTTTTGATCAGAAAGAGCTCTCTGAAGCATTTCCACCATGCACTGATGATAGGTGATCTGAACTAGCGAGTGAGTAAGCTGTTTAAAAAAAATCTCGAGAAACAGAAATAAGGATGTCACGAGTGTTGTCAACATGAGGAGCAACACCTTCAGTACCAAGATTATTTTGACCTGATTCATTTGAGAGGAAATTATCTCCATTCCAGGGAAGATCTTAAAATTTTGAGAAAGCAGAATGGAGTAGATGAGAGAGGGATTTAAAACGATTGCCAAAAAGAGTTTTACGAACTTCAGTAAAATCACCATAATTATCCTCATCAATCAAAGTAGGAGTTTGTAAATGAGAGTTGATAATTTTGGGAGAAAAAATTGATTCGCACAAAAAAAAACTTTTCCAAAGTTTGGAGAATTTTTCTTTAAAAACAGTTTGTAAATTGGCATAAAAATTCCTTCATAAGGACAGACAATCTCAACTAGACTAAGGATTTTTCTTTGTTCAAGTCCCTATGAAAAGCAATTATCCTATGTCTATCAAACTCATCCTTGAAAATTTCATTTCCTCAATGAATTGGCAATTCATGATTTGAGGACTCAAATTTGAATCAGATTCAAAATAAAAAGTAGGACTGAAGGCATTGTTTACCTCAAAAGGAGTTGACATATTCTTCCCATCCAAGTCTAGCTCTTCATCCGCTGAGTGTTCCTCTTCTTCTGATTCTTCAAGTTCATCTGGGATGTATGCTGGCTCAGGTGATGCAACAGGTGGAGCAGCATCTTCTGCCATTGTCATCACTTTTCTCTTCATCTTCAACCTGGGAAGGTGGTGCATCCACTTGAACAGCTGCCTCTGTCAGAG